CCAGGCCAGGCGTGGGGGGAGATGGCATTGCCGGCTGGTGGCTGGGCCCAGAGAGAGGATGGGGCCTGCGTGGTTCCCTCTGTTCCCTCACTCAGCTGCTCGTGGCTGGTGGCAGGCTGTGGGAGCAGCGGGGAGGTCCTGGGGCGAGCAGCGTCTGGCCCCATCACTGCCGTGGGGTGGGGACGGTGCTGCCGCCTGGAGCCCCTCAGTTGGCTTCTTGTGGAGTGCTCCTGGCTCCAATGCCCAGGCTGGAATCCGGGCGGGGCCAGGGCACTGTGGGGATTTGTCTCTGCACTCTGTGTTTAACCCCTTCCCATTGCGCTGCTGCTCACCCGCCGTCAGGCCCATTTCTCAGCAGGGCTGTGCTCGGTTGACAGAGACCCACAGCCATCAGCCCCCCCACCCCCCGGGAGGCAGAGCAGGGGCATTATTGGGGAAACTGAGGCACGGAGCGACTTGACCAAGGTCACCCAGGAAGTCCGGCAGAGCAGGGAATTGAAACCAAGGCTGCCAATTCCTGGGCCCCTGTCCTCTCCTCCCGCCTCCCAGGCGTGTGCTCTGCCCACTAGCCTGCACTGCCTGTGGTGGGGGGTAGCAGGTCTGCCCTCTGTGTAGCCTGAGGCTTGGGGCCGTGCCAACTGCACGGGAGGCTGGCTCAGATGCTGGCCTGCATGTTCGCGGGCGCAGAGCTGCAGTGTATTTGCAGCAGGGGTTGGCGGGAGAGAATCTCCTCTGTGGCCGTGGCATGGGGCCAGCTGGGAGCCTGTGTCCCAGCCCCCCTTTGTGCCAGCCTGTGCCCCCCAGCACGCTGGCCCTGGGGTAGGGGCGGGGAATCCCCTGCATCCGGGGCTGGCCTTGCTCTGCCCTTGGCATGGCGGTGCCTGGCAGCCCGGAGCTGGCCCCCCTCCCCGCAGTGCTGCCTGGGCCTGCATGCCAATGAGCCCCTCGCCGCAGCTGCAGGGCGCTGTGTAATAGGGGAAGCAGGAGACACCTGCTCCTGGCCGGCTGCCCTCCCCCCGCGCAGTGCGGCTGAAAATCCCCTCCAGGCTCCTGCTCCTCGCCTCACATTGCAGCATGGGGGTGGAGGCGCTCAGCCCCTGGCTGCATCGGGCCCGTGCAGACCCTGGGGGGATGCCCCCATCTCTAGGAAGTGGGGCAGCGACCGTGCTGTGGCTTTGGGGCTGGGCTGGTGGCCGAGCTGCTCCAGGCTGGGAATAGTGCAATGAGTCTGCGGGCCTCAGCCCCTAGCCCTGCTCCGCCTTCGCCCACCTGCTGCTGTGTTTGGAGAGGGGGGGCAGGGCCGTATGATGCTGCTCGGCTCCCCCGTGTGCCCCAAAGGGCCAGGCAGGGCGTCCCCTGGCTCGCTGCGCCCGAATTCCTACAGCGGCTCAGCTAAGTGCAGGGCCCGGACGTGGGCCGTGCCCCCAGGGGGCCGCGCAGCTGTTCCATTAACTGTTCCCGGCTCAGCAGAGCGTGGCAGGATCGGGGACAGGGGGGTCAGACTGCGAAGAGCAACGCCAGCCTGTGTGTGTGTGCGAAGGGCTAGCGGCGCATGGAAGACAATGAGCCGTGCGGGCTGCTGAGGGTCGGGTGGGGGCTCAGCTGTGGGAGTCAGATGTGTGGGAATTAGTGCCAGCCCCAAACCTTCAGCCCACTCCCGCTGACACCTGCCCGCCTGGGAGCCTGCAGCCCCACGCCTGCCTGGCCAGGTGGCAGCTGCAGCCGCCCCAGGGAAGGAGAGTGCTGGGGGCCAGGCGCGAAGGCGACTGGCTTGGCAGCCCAGCTCGGTTGCGAGGTGCCCGTCACTCCCCCTCTTGCGCTAGGTTTGGGGGAGCTGCAGACGGGATGGTCAAACCCTGAGCACGGCCCCTGAGTGACTCCCCGTGTGTGCAAAGCACCATGGGTAAGACCCAGCCGGCGACAAGAGGAGGAGTTTGGAGGTGGGGGCTGATCCTGCAAGGGGCTAGGTGCTCTCGGCTGCCAACAAGGATACAGCAGGGAGCTTGCTCACAGTCTGTGCTGGCCCCAGTACCCCAGCGTGGCACTAGGGGGCGCTGGCCCCATAGTTAGTGCTTGCCCCAGTACCCCAGCGTGGCACTAGGGGGCGCTGGCCCCTCAGTCAGAGCTGGCTCCAGTGCAGTGCCAGGGGGCGCTGTGCTGCAGGGAGTGGGGGGCTCAGCAGGGGGCGCTCTCCCCTCAGTTGGAGCTGGCCCCAGTGCAGTGCCAGGGGGCCCTGTGCTGCGGGGAGCAGGGTGGGGGGCTCAGCAGGGGGCGCTCTCCCCTCAGTCAGAGCTGGCCCCAGTGCAGTGCCAGGGGGTGCTGTGCTGCGGGGAGTGGGGGGCTCAGCAGGGGGCGCTCTCCCCTCAGTCGGTGCTGGCCCCAGTGCAGTGCCAGGGGGCGCTGTGCTGCGGACGAGGTAATCTTGGCCCCACGTCTGGCAACGGGTGCTGAAGATGCGGGCCGAGGGGTATGAAACCTACCAGGTGTTTGATCTGGGGAAATCCGGCTGGGCCAAGCTCTCTTCCACCCCCCCCCCCCCTTCGGCAGGAGAGGTCGGAAAGCAGCCCCCCTACTCCGGAGCAGGGGCCGCAGCTGGGCACACAGGCCCTGGGGGGCTGTGGGGTGAGGGCAGGGCAGGGTCTGGACATGGCGCGGGCTCTTCTCTCTCACGGCACCAGCGATCTCCATGGAGCCGTTGGCTGTGCCCTCAGCCAGCTGTTCTCCCGCGGGACCGGCTGGAACCTCGGGCAAGACAAGGACGCAGTGTTAGGGAGCCAGGCCAGTGCTGCTCCCCCGGCTTGGACCGGGGACAAGCCCCCACACTGAGCCATCTGGCAGGTGCGCGGGGCGGGGGGAACACAGGAAACGCAGCTGGGGAGGGGGGGACGTTCCTTGGCGTGACCTGGCCGAGTTCCCAGGCTGAATCTCAGAGAAGCAGGGACCAGCCCCGTCCCAGCTGGCGGGGGCTGCGGATGGGCTGCGAGATCCCCTTGGCTGGTGATGCTCAGTGCTCAGACCTGGGCCTAGCTGGGCTCACACGGCCACGGGGGCCAGTCGCTCAGCCGGGCGCTGTGCGGGCCCGAGGGCGGCAGGGCTGGCTGCTGCCCAGTTCTCTGCAGCCGTACGGGGGCAGATCCTGCCCCTGGGTGCATGGCGCACTGGGGTCTCTCCAGCAGGGGCTGGCCAGCGCTCTTCTCACCCACGCTGTCCCTGTACCCAGAGCAGCTGGGGCCAGCCCTGCCAACACCCGGCCGTGAAGCCAGCCTTCACTCCCCCCCCCACCTTAGGACTGAAGGGATGCTCTCCTCTCCTCCCCACCCCCCCACTCTGCTGTCTCCTGGGAGCTCCCAGGCTCTGAGCAGGCCCAGGGCAGCCACATGCCTGTGGCCCAGCTCTGTAGGGCCAGCTGCAGAGTTCCTGCCCCGCCCTGCTGTGGCCTGCCTCCTTCCCTCCCTGGGGACATCCACCTGGCATTGTACAGCCGGCTCCTGGGACTCGCAGTTCCCAGCCTGTGCGTCCTCCCGGCATTGTAACCTGAGGGTCCCAGCCGTGCTATCCTGTCCATCCTGGCTCGGCTCCGCGGCTCCAGCTGCATCCACACTGCAAAATGGCAGGGCTTGGACTCCAGATCTGGCAGGCCTCGGGCTCTGACCCACCCCCTGGCAGGGTCCTCGGACCCAGTACCAGACGGGTTTGTGTGTGGCTGGAAGGGGGCTCGGGCTCAGCCTGGGCTTTGAGAGCTGCTTGGGGTCTGGGCGGGGAAGAGAAGTTGCTACCAAGCCAATTGAGGGGCTGGGAATGGGCCGCAGGAGCTGAGGGACTCCCCAAGAACAGAAGCCCTGGAGGTGCGTGGAGCTCCCTGATTTCACTGGAGGTCGGTGGAGCAATGGTGTCTCTGGCCCTGGTCCTAGCCAGACGTCCCTGGGGCAGAAGAAGGCGGAGAAGGGCCATGGCGCAGCGAGAGGCTGGTGGCAGTTGGGGGTTAATGAACACGTGGGCCTTGCCTGGGAGAGAAGGGGGGATTCTTGTGACTCAGCTGCTCACTGGCCCTTTCCTACAGCAGGTCCTCCTCTGTGTACTCCCTGGTGGGCAGTGGTTAGTTCAGGGGTTGGTCTGGGGGCTCCCTTCTCAACCTCCGTCTCTCAGCAGGCTCGGGCAGCCGAACCGTGCGCTGCAGAGCCCTGGCCGCAGGCAGAGATTCGTGGGGGGCACTGTTTGGTAGGGTAGTGCCATCCGGCGCTGTGTGCACCCAGAGAGCAGATATGGGCTCACGTCGAAAGCCCAGGGGCTCCTGGAGCCCTCAGGGGCCTAGTGCATGAGGCTACAGTGGGCAGATCTCAGTGATGCCTGGGGGAGAGATTCCCACATTTACATGGGGTGTTTACTGACTAATAGTGCTTCGCGTGTGCCTGTCACCAGGGTATGTGGGCCCAGGAATGCCTTTTCTTGGAGGCACACTAATAACGCGGCCTGCCAGTTGGGTTAGTAGCTTTCTCCCGATGGGGAAACTGAGGCATACAGCCTTTTCCAAGGCCAAGCAGCATTTCTATGGCAGAGCCAGAAATAGAATCCTGGCTCCCAGTCATCTTGGCTTCTGCATAGCAGGGCTCAGAGCTGAGCTGAGCGGTGGTTCCGAGCCTGGCCAAAGCGAGCGAAAATAAACCCTCCGGGGAATGTGAACGCTGCGGCTCGGATATCCAGGTCGCCGCGAGCGGGCCGAGATTTTCCTTTCCTCGGTGCAGACTGGGAGCGGGCTGGGGGGTGTCGCGGGGAGATGCACGGGAGAGGCCTGGAGATAGGGTGCCTTGTTGGAGGGCTAAGTGAGAGTGCAGGAGACTGTGGAGCTGTGTGAAATCCCGAGCCAGAGGCCCACCGGAAACAGCCTCTCCAGCCCGCAGTTAAATCTGACCTCTTGGCTGCCGATCAAAAAGTGTTCCCTGCAAATACCATCGAGTCTCTGTTCCAGCCAAGCTGGCGGCCGGGGAGAGAGGGTGGGAGCCAGCCACCGTGGACCGGAGCAGAGCAAGGGGGGTGGGCTCAAGACAAACACACACACACACACACAAGCCCTGCAGTGTCCGGCCCGCGAAAGCAGGAACAGCCTCTCGGCTGCGGGGACCACAGAGCTCGGCGCCCGCGGGAGGATTCCGGTTTTTTGGACAGAGAAGCCTTTAAATTGCGTCTCAAAGACTTGCCGATGTCTCGCGGCCCCTCTGCGCGGATGTCAGACTCAGCCGTGCCGTGACGCTGCACTCCAGCCAGCTGCCCGGGCTCCCCCCGGTTACTGATCCACCGTTTGGGTTTTACGGAGGAGCTGTCCCCACGCAGTGGAGCCGAGCATGCGTGCCTGCGGGGCCCTGGCAGACTGCCACCCACCTGGCATGTCGCAGGGGCAGCGGGCTGGCCAGGGTGCCACAGAGAGCCCGTGAGGGGCTGATCTGGGATGACACCCATGCAGGTTCCTGGGAGATTCGCCTCTCGCCGGGCGGGATCCTTTTATTCTGTCTAGAGGCTGTGGCTGCGCTCCACATGCTGGGCAGGGCATGCGGGGACAGCAGCCCCTCACCCAGCCCGGAGCTCCAGCGTGCCGCCAGGACCGGCTCTCAGGGAACCAGTGACAGCCGTGTAATGCCCGTGGCCCCGGTGGGAATCCTGGAAGGGCCCTTCTCCTCTGACCTGGTCCCCCTCGCGCCAGTGACTGGGGCATAGAGAATAGGGGTTCCCCGAGCCAACAGCCCCCTGTTCCCACCGGTGCCCAGCGTGGCAGAGGAGAGATGCGTCGCTTCGAGGTGCTGCGCCGCTCCTTCCCGTTCCTGGCCCGTTTCTGGGTCTATCGCGTAAGTCGATTTCGGCTCGGTTCCCAGGGGTGAGTCCCTCGACGCGTCGGATCTGTGTCCAGCCCCTTCATCCTGGCTGCTCTGTCCTGGCCGCTGCATGGCACGGAGAGTGAGCCGAGCCCTGGGGGGCTGTGGGATGGGGGGGCTGTGGCTGGGATGGCACACAGCACTGTCTGGCCCACCCAGTCGGACACCGCCCAGAGCCCTAGCCCCTCCCCCTCGCAGGGGCAGAGCTCGGACGCCCCCCACTTGGCTAGCGGCTGCAGGGAACCCTGCGCTATCCTTGGGGCTCCCTGCTCCATGTGTCCCTTGCACCTCACCGCATGTGTTGGGCTGTGCCCCAGCTTAGCAATGGGGCAACTGCCCCCCCACACACACACACCCTACAGGAGCTGGGACACTGGCCATGCCCCGGCTGGCGGCTGACCGCACCCACCCTCCGTATTTTTAGACCAGACTATACTGCGGGGAATTTTAATTGTTGGCTGTAACCCAAGAGCTCCGGAGACAGAGCCCCAGCCCCGGGCTATGTCTGTGGATGGCGGGGGTGTGTGTGTGTGTCTGTGTTAGGGGGCTCAGATTGGCCCCCTAGATTGGAGGTGCTGCAAACTGAGAGTTGGGAGGGTCCCGGGATGGAGTGGGAGGGGGGCGAGGTGCTGGGTCCCACTGGAGGGGAGGGAGGGAACACCCTGTCTTCTGCTTCTCGATCACTGTATGACCCAGCCCCCCATGGCGCCAGGCACTGCACAGACCCAGGTGGGCCCTGCCCCGAAGACCTTACAGTGGGAGGTCGTGGCCGCAGTGCTGCCTGTGCCCAGAGGAGGGGTTCTCCTGGCAGCGTGGGTTGTCCGAGGTTGATGGCAGAGCTCAGCTGGGGAGCCAGGGGACGCAGCCAGGCCGTAGCTGGAGCCAGCCGGGTTGTAGCATGTCCAAGGGTGGCGTGAAGGGCAGTGCAGGTGGGAGGCACGTGTCTGGAAATGGAACAGGCGGGCGAAGGAGACCGGACAGGGCAGATCAGCAGCGGGAGGCATCAGTCGTTGAAGAGCTCTGCCCAGCACGGTGACTGCAGGGCAGCTGAGCTCTGTGGCTGGAGGGGCCCATGGGTGTGGGGCGCAAAGGGATCCTGCCTCTTCCTTGCTCGCTCCACCCAGGGGCAGCCCCAGTGGCTTGGCTCGGGCAGGGCTGGTGCTTTCCCGGTTTGCCGTGTCGTTTCTGGAGCAGATGTCAGGGTGCATGGGGCACGGAAGGAGCATCGGGGAGACAGCCCATACCTCCAGGGGCAGTAGAAGGTTTCCTCTCTAGACATCAGGGAACAGCCCCCTCTGGGAGCTCGTGGCCCCTGCAGAGCCAGCCTGGGGTCACCCCCCTCTGGGAGTCGGCCCCCGAGGGGTCTCATCGCTGCTGGGTGCGGATCAGCACAGCCGTGCTGCCCAAGTGGTTGGTGAGTCCCTAGTGGGGACAGGAAGGGTGCCCAACTGGGCGCTGCCCTGGGCCTGGCCTGTGACGACCTTGGGGGGTGCAGGATGCCAGGGGGATTTTGTCCCCCTCAGTAAACACTGCCCGCGAGCCATGTCCCCGCGCAGCCCTGTGGTCCGTGCCAGCCTTTCCTGCCACTCAGAACAGGGAGCAGACCCTCCGCTCGTGAGGTGGAGCTGGCTGTGGACAGATGCCGCCAGGGACGGACAGACAGGCCCAGGAACAGGCTGGCTTTGAGGGGACGCCAGAACCTGGCTATGGAGCAGGGAGCGCGGGACATCTGTGCCCACGTGCCCAGGCCCCCGCTGGCCGCAGGGCCCGGATCGGGGTGGGAGGGGGGCACATGCTCTGTTTTATAACCCAGACCTGTCGTCTCCAGTTTCCATCCCAAACATGGGCATGGGAAGCAGATCCGCCCGTGCCTTGGCTGGAGCGCCGTGCGTCGGTGGTGCCAGGGGGTGCTGAGCCCTGGTGGGCGGCAGGGTGAGTGCCTGGCACCCCGGCTAGCTGCAGCGGCGTAGCGCAGCTGTGCTTTTATCCCTCTCTGTGCTATTGATAACCAGGCCCTTCGCTCGCGGGGCGGGGGGATGCCAATGGGCACCATCTGGCCGCTGGGGAGGGCAGCAAAACCTCCTGGCCCCTTCCCCGCTGCTCTGCCCACTCACTCCCCTGCAGCCAGGGTCAGGAGCTGATCCCAGGTCTGCACAAGCTGCAGCATCGCAACCTGACTGAGCTCTCCCCATGAGCACACGTCTCAGCCAGGGTTCCCCTCTCCCGGGCATTGCCCGTGAGCATGGGGCCCGGCCCATGGTGGCAGGGGGAGGGGGAATGCAGCAGCTCCCAGCATGCAACAGGCTTGGGTGTGAGCACATGGCAGGGGGGAGGGGCTGCTGCTCCCAGCGTGCACTGCTGCATCTGATCTGGAGCGTGGTGGGGTGGCCCTGGGGCAGGGCAGGGAGCAGTGACCCAATCCCTGGTGCCTGGCTGACGTATGTCGGGGGGACGGGGCTCCCATTGGGTCCTGGTGGGGTGGATAGGGCCTGTCTTCTCTGCCTCTCATACCCTTGTGGATGGCGCCCGTCATGCCCAGGGGTCCTAGCCAGGGTGGGGGCTGATGTGCTGGGCACTGCAGGGCCGTGGACTGGGATCCCCACGGGTGGCAAAGCCCCCTGGGCAGTCATGCACTGTGGGGTTTAGTTCTGGAGTGAAATCTCCCCCAGATGCCAGCCACTGCCCGGGCACGTGGGGCTGGCAGGAGGAGAGGGCCTCGGCCTGCCGGGTCAGATGCCAGTGGCGGAGGAGCCGAGCGGCCGGCTGGGGCGGAAGGGTGACTCTCTGCTGGGAAAGGGGCTGTCACTTGACCCCTTGTTATGCCCTGCTGAGCGGTGAGGGGGCTAGCTGGCAGTGCTCCTCATAGCCCGCCCGGCAGCTGCTGGCACCTCGTCCGGCCCCCTGCAGGCAGTGGGGTGCCCTGGTACCTCTGAAGGCCTCATGTAGCCGCAGATCCCCTCTCCTTGTCTGTCCCAGTCCCCCCACAGCGAGGTCTCTGCTTCGACCTCGGTGGCACTGGGACGGCCCTGCCGGCTCTGGGGTGGATCCTGTCCCTGGACAAGGCGATGGCCAAAGTCTCACTGGCTTCTCCAGGGGCAGAATCCAGCCCCCGGGAATTTCTGACCCCCTGGCTCTGCCTGTCCTGGTTATGGCAGGGTGTGTAGTATAGCCAGGTGTGCCCATCCCCGGCTGCTCAGCGACGTTGCTGCTGCCACTGTGACCAGCCTGCAGCCCTTCAGCCGGCGCAGGTAACGGAGACTCTCCGGTCACTATTAGCCCTACAGAGCCTGGGACACCCTCTGAGCAGTACGTCCCACGCTAGCGATGCCTCCAACTGGGGCCCAGGCAGCCGTTCGGGGGAGCCGGGTTCCCCGGCTGGCGTGTGCTGAGCCAGGTCAGTCAGTGCCCTGAGCCGTTGGCTGCCCCCTAACCCCGCTGTCTCTGGTCTCTGCAGACGCTGCCCTGTAGCATGGAGTCGGACGAGGGCACAGACTGGCTCCTGGAGCTCCTGACCGAGGTGCAGCTCCAGCAGTACTTCCTGCGCATCCGCGACGACCTCAACGTCACCCGCCTCTCGCACTTCGAGTACGTCAAAAATGAAGATCTGGAGAAGATCGGCATGGGGCGGCCTGGTGCGTATGACCTCTGACCTCCTCCCACACCCCCAGCCCCCAAGCTGCTCCTCCCTCACCAGCAATCAACGCTGCATCTGTCTCTGCTGGTCCCGTCCCCCCCGCCCCCGCTCCCGGATCACATGGCTTTGTTGTTGGGGCTCCAGGTTTGTTGTAGGGTTAACACCTCTCCAGCAGGGCCCGTGATCCTCCAGAAAGTCCTGCTGGGCTCCCTCTTGCGGGGTCTGACTGCTCTGGGCTGGGGTGGAGGCAGATTCCCCTCTGGAGCTGGCCAAGGGGTGCCGCAGGAGGGAGCGGGGCGAGCGCTGTGACCATCCTTTGTCTCTGCAGGCCAGCGGCGGCTGTGGGAAGCCGTGAAGCGCAGGAAAGCCATGTGCAAGCGCAAATCGTGGATGAGCAAGGTAACGCCTGGGAAGGGGCACCCCGGGATGTGGAGCGGGGAGCTGGCGCAGCAGCCTGGTGCCATGCGGGTATTGGGCCATTCACGGGCGAGAGCCCTGGCACCAGCAGCTCCATTTCACAGATGGGGAGACGCAGAGCGGCCCCAGGACTGGCCTGAGGCTGCAGAGAGTGCCCCAGACACACCAGCACAGCCCTGCTGGGCGCAGGGCAGTGAAGGCTGGAATTTGGCCCGGTGGCTTTAGATGCCCAGCGGCGGCGCCATCTGCTGCCGCCCACAGCCCTCGCCGCTGTCTGTCCCCCTGCTTTGAGGGGTAGGGAAGCTCCCCACGCCCCCGAGCCAGGCTCTCTGCAGGATCCTCAGAGGGGAACATCCTGGGCTAGGTTTGCCAATTTTGGTTGGACATTCCTGGGGATTTCATCACATGACATAATAAAGATTAATCTTTAATTCCTGGAGACTCCAGGCCAATCCTGGAGGGTTGGCAACCTTCGCCTGGGCTGGGGCCAGGAGGCGCTCTGCCAATTGCTGGAGAGCAGGGGAAAGACGTGGGTGGCAGAGAGCCTGCTGGGAAATGTAGTCCTGCCGTTATCTGTGGCGCCGCCCAGCTGGCCGGAAACTGGGCCTGTATCACCATGTGGGAATCCTGTGTGGGAGGAGGGGGCCAGTTCTCGGAAAATGGGGCTCTGGGACGGGGAGCTCATTTCCCAGCCCTGGCATTAGTTCGGGAAGAAGTGGGTGGCTGGCAGAAATTGACAGCGGCTGCAGGGTCCTTTGATCGCGAGGTCGTGGATTGCAGTGACCGGGCGCAAGGGCAGCGACCGGCTGCCCCCCGACGTGCACGGGGCACCCTGCGGGGCGCAGCTCGGACGGTCAGTTTGCTGGTTGGCTGGCTGGCTGGCTGGGGCCGGCTCTGGCGTGCCCACTGCTGGCTGGGTGATGGCATTCAGATTGGGGTTGCTTGTGTCACTGAGCATTGGTGAGTGCCCCTCTGCCCGAGGGGCAGGCAGGAAATTCCTTCCCCTGGTGATCGGTCTGTGCCCCTGGAAGCCAATTAAGCGTTAAGTAGCCGAATACGCATCCCTGCCTGGTGCTGCGTGCACACAGTGCCCCAGAGCGTCCCCTCAGGGTGCAGCGAGTCTGTCGGCTCCCAGGGGGTGCGCTCTGATGCCAGCCCCGTGAGATTGGGGGGGCCTAAGGGTGCTGCCCCCTGACTCAAATGGGCGTCTCAGCCAGCGCTCTGCCCAGCCGCCATTCACACTGCCCGTGGCTTGCACCCAGCTTTCGTTCTCACCCACACGTCCGTGGCACACCAAGGGCTGTGGTCCCTGCCATGGAGAGCTGGGTCTCGAGCCAAGACGATGGGCACAGACCAAAGGAGGACGCAGCAGGGTCAGCAGAGTGGGACCGAGGTAGGAAGCATTCTGGGGCCGTCCGGAGCATGGAGCCTGGCATCAGCCCAGCAATACGTTCTGGGCTGGCACCCGTTCAGCAGTAGCACAGGCTGTCTGCAGGGAAATGCAGCCACCTCTGGGGCAGAGCATGGCAGCTGTGTATCAGTACCCAGCAGCACTTGGGCAGCCGGGGACAGGAAGTGGTGGAACATCCGCATCCTGCTGAAACTCCCGGGGAAATCAGCGCAAAGGGGACTGTCATAGCCTGGGCACCTGGCCAGGGCTCATCTGAAAGAGGGCATCTCCTCACACCCCACTGGGGAGCTGGGCTTAGTGCTAACTTGGAAGCGGCAGCGCCCCCTGCTAAGTCACTCATGCCGCTCCCTGGGGCCAGGACCCCCTAGTGCCACAATGGGGCATTGGCATCAGCACTGACTTGGGCGGGAGAGCACCCCAAGTCAGCACAGGGTCAGCATTGACTCCCGCTGATACACTATCTTCCTCTTTCCGTCTCAAACTGCTGGGTAGCTTTGCTGTGTGCTGTTCAACAGCTGCCGTGCTCCACCCCAGAGGCAGCTGCATTGGTGGGCTCAGAGAGGCAACCGCAGGTTAAGTGCTGTGGATTCATGGGTGAGGGGCACTAGAGAACACTGCCAAGGACAGAGCTAGAGAAGTGCTTGGAGCCACCCTGCCCTTTGCCTACCACGAGGGCTTTGGTGCGATGCCGCCCCGGGGGTGTTCGTAACTTGGCCAGACCCAACGGCGTGCGCTACGGGGCTGGAGCAGGCTGCATTCCTCTGGGCCGGCCTGTGACCCTGCCCCGGGGCCCGTCCTGGCCCTGCCACCTCTGGGCTGGCTCTGCTCACACACCAGCCTGGGCTGCCTTTCCCTCCCTCAGCGTGCTGGCCCTTGATGCCAGTTACAAAGACAGGTGCCGCTGTTACAGATGGGGAAACTGAGGCACAGAGCGGGGATGTGAGTCAGCGCTGGGGGTAGAACCCAGGAGTCCGGATCCTCCCAATCCTCTGCTCACACCACGAGGCCATGCTGCCATAAAGGTGCTGCCCTAAACCTTCCTCCCACCGTGGGCTCTCGGTCCCTGATGTCAGGGCCAGAGGCAGATGTGTGTGGAAGGGTTGCCTGATGCTGGCGGAATCATGGGGCGTTGACTGGTGTTGTCTCTCCACCCACGCCCATCTGTCTGTCCATCCAGGTGTTCAGCGGGAAGCGCCCCGAGGCAGAGTTCCCACCCCAGCTCCAGCCCACCTTCCCCAAGCTCTCCAGCCCGCCGCCCGCCGAGGAGGGGCAGCAGGCCCTGACCTGCCTAATCAGCGAGAAGGACCTGACGCTCTTCGAGAAGCTGGGGGACGGCTCCTTCGGCGTGGTGCGGCGCGGCGAGTGGGGCACGCCCACCGGCAAGACGGTAAGGGGCCCAGAGCACGCCAGGGCGAGCCCAGCACACGGCCCGAGGGGCAGGATATGGGGCTAGCCCAGGATTGCCTGGCTGAGGCCCTTCGCTGGCACGGGGCAGCAAATCCAGGCTGGTCAGTTTCCCCATCGGCGTCGAGTTGGTTTCACTAGCTGCTGCTGGGTCTGGGATTCCAGCGCTGCCGTCCACCCGCACCGGCCCCCGAATCTGCAGCCGGCTCTGCCCCCGCCAGGGCGCCCACCCCCTGAGTGCCAGGCATTGCCCCCGACACCGCTCCTCACTCCTGGCCCACACGGCCCCTGCCCTCCACTCTGGATCTGTCCCTGTTACCACCCAGGGCCGTGTGGACCTAGAGACTGGACCGGGACCACAAATTCCTTTCATGCAGGGCCTGCCTTTGGGTCCCCAGCCTGAGGTGGTGCTGGGGCCGATACTCTTTGCAGCCAGTGCCACCCCCTTCCCCATCATTCCCATGCCTGGGGTGTGGCGGGGGGGCCCGAGCAGCCCCCGCTGAGCCCCACGGTCCAGCGACCTCCCTGGGCTGTGTGAATACATGAATAATACCAGGACACAGTGTTGATGTCCTGCCTATACCCTGCGGTGCCCGCCACTGCGGCCTACCCTAGAGGTGAGCAGATTGGTCCCCTGGGGTGGGAGCTGCCGCAGGGTCCTCATTGGCCCGTGTTTCCCAGCAGCTCAGCGTGGCTGTGAAGTGTCTCAAGACGGATGTGCTGAGCCAGCCGGAGGCGCTGGACGACTTCATCCGGGAGGTGAACGCCATGCACTCGCTGGACCACCGCAACCTCATCCGGCTCTACGGCGTGGTGCTCTCGCCCCCCATGAAGATGGTGAGTGTGGGAGCATGGGGGGGCGTTCGGGGGGAACTGCCTCTCTGGTGTTGAGAGCTGGCTCCTCCAGGCGGGACGGACCCCTAGGCCTGGGGCGTAGCTGTGTGGGCGCAGAGCCCCGGGGCACCGTGGGGCAGGGACAGACCCCCAAGCCGTGGCTGTGTGGGTGCAGAGCCCCGTGGCACCGTGGGGCAGGGACAGACCCCCAAGCCGTGGCTGTGTGGGCGCAGATCCCAGGGGCACCGTGGGGCAGGGACAGACCCCCAGGCCGTGGCTGTGTGGGCGCAGAGCCCCGGGGCACCGTGGGGCAGGGACAGACGCCCATCCCACTCTCCCGGGCTGGGGCCTGACTCGACCCCTCTGCCCCGTTCGCCCAGGTGACGGAGCTGGCCCCGCTGGGCTCCCTGCTGGACCGGCTGCGGAAGAACCAGGGCCATTTCCTCCTCTCCACGCTGTGCCAGTACGCCGTGCAGATCGCCACGGGCATGGCCTACCTGGAGTCCAAGCGCTTCATCCACCGCGACCTGGCTGCCCGCAACATCCTGCTGGCCTCCAGCGACCTGGTCAAGATCGGTGACTTCGGGCTCATGCGGGCGCTGCCCAAGAACGACGACCACTACGTCATGCAGGAGCACCGCAAGGTGCCCTTCGCCTGGTGAGCCCCGCCCGGCGCCAGCCGTGTGCATTTCGCTCGCAGCACCCCCTGCCAGCTCGCCTGCCCGCAGAGGGGGGCCCGGTAGCTGTGGGTGGCTCTGTGTAACGGCTCTGTGCCCCCCCCCCCCACATGCCTCCTTGTCCCTCCAGCTGGGCGCCGGGGAAGGCCGAGAAGCCGAGGCGCTGGCCCTTGTGGTGTCTGTGGACCGTGGCAGAGTCTGCACCCGGAGGTGGAGGGGAAAGGGCAGCAGGTATCTGCTTTCTCTGGGGTGGAGTCTGCCTGGGGCGTCCCTGCCCTGCCAGCGCCGTTCCAGGGAGAGGGAAGTGGCGACCTGGGAGGCAGCTGGCTTGGCTGGCCCTGGGCCCCTGTTGTGGGGGGACCCCGGAGGGCTGGAGCTGAGCGGGGAGCTCTGCTCCGCCAGGCTGGATGGGGGCGCCAGTAACTGCGAGCCTTTCTCTGCAGGTGTGCCCCGGAGAGCCTGAAGACACGCACCTTCTCGCACGCCAGCGACACCTGGATGTTCGGGGTCACCCTCTGGGAGATGTTCACCTATGGGCAGGAGCCGTGGGTCGGCCTCAGCGGCAGCCAGGTACCTAGCACGGCCCCACACCGCGTGCCCTGCACTCTTGGGCCTGGCCCCTCTGGGAAGGGGAGATGCCCTCTACCCCCAGCATATGGGGATTGCTGCCCCGGGCCCAGCCAGCGTCGCTCGGGCCCAGCCGGCCTCACTGAGCTATGGCCACCCAGGGCTGTTCCTGGCAGAGGAGGAGGGAGGGGCTGACGCAGAGCAAGGGGGCGTTGGGGCCTGGAGATCCCAGGGAGTTTTTTCAGGGGCTTCTGTCCCCTAGTGGCACACGCACTGCACCCCTGAGGGAGCCTGCAGGGGAACATCTGGCTTGTGCCTGTGGGTGCCTGACGGGGCAGGTGCTGTGAGATTCTTCCACACCCAGCTCTGCCGGTGCCCCTCAGTCCTGACCCGCAGCCCCCCACTATCCCAGCCCTGGGCACCCCACACGCAGCTCTGTGGTGCCCCACTCCCGACCTGCAGCCCCCCACTATCCCAGCCCTGGGCACCCCACACACAGCTCTGCTGGTGCCCCACTCCCGACCTGCAGCCCCACACTATCCCAGCCCTGGGCACCCCACACACAGCTCTGCTGGTGCCCCTCAATCCCAACCCACAGCCCCCCACTATCCCAGCCCTGGGCACCCCACATGCATCTCTGCAGTGCCCCACTCCCGACCTGCAGCCCCCCACTATCCCAGCCCTGGGCTCCGCACACGCAGCTCTGCCGGTGCCCCTCAATCCCAACCCACAGCCCCCTGCTAGCCCAGTCCTGGCCCTTCTTCATCAGAGATCCCAGAAATGGGAATGGGCTGAGACCTGCCTGATGGATTTTGGCTTGGGAGCTAGGGCAGGGTTCGAACGGGGTCTCCAGGCTGGGGGGCACGCACATTGGCCCCGATGCCCCCGTGCAGGGAGGAGTGGTGTGGTTAGGGTGCCCATGGCCCCTCAATTCTGATGGCTGGTGCCTGCCCCTGGCTGTACGACTCCCAGGTGCCCGTGCCCTGGCCTGTCCCAGGGGCACCCTTCAAGCCAGGCAATTTGATTCCTGCTTTCACTGGCGGCTTGATGCCCGTCGGTCGCGCCGGAAGGGGACTCTGTGCCCCCCACCTGACCCAGCCAGCCTGTGTCCCGCCCCGCGGCTAATCCGTGCGGCTCGCCCGGCAGGATTCCTTGCTGACGGGGAGGGCCGAGCCCCATGTAATACCCCGCCGGCCCTGCCCCCCTCGGGCCTCTCCTGGGCAGGACTGAGCCCCGCCCCGCTCTGCCAGCGCCTCAACCAAACCCCCGTCGAGCAATCTTCCTCCTGCGCCTGGCCAGTCTCCGCTCCTGCCTCTGCTGCTGCTCCCGGGGTGCCCAGGTGTGACCCCGTCCAGCCCCAGCACCTCCCCTGCCACGGCCGCCCGAGCCCCCTCTGCTCTGCCCCCCCACCCCATGCCTGAGCCTGACTGCGGCGTCTGCCCTCCATGCCCGCAGATCCTCCACAAGATCGACAAGGAGGGCGAGCGGCTGCCGCGGCCCGAGGACTGCCCGCAGGACATCTACAATGTCATGCTGCAATGCTGGGCGCACAAGCCCGAGGACCGGCCCACCTTCGTGGCCCTGCGCGACTTCCTGCTGGAGGTAGGCGGCACGGGGTGGGAGGGCGGCTGGCCCTGGCCTGCATGGGTCCATGCCCCTCTGTGCCATGCGGCCCAGGCATCACCCCCAGAGCTGTATGCCAGGCACCGAGGCCCTGCAAATCCCACCCTTCCCGGAGGAGCCGTCGGGGCCAGCGCTGCGGGAGCCCAAATATGGGCCAAGCTGCTCAGAACTCCGGGGCCCAGCCCCGTTGGTTTCCCGGGAGGCTCTGGGCCTAGGTGCAGAGTGTGGCCCATGGGCCTGCAGGTGCTGGCCGAGCCGGCCAGAAGGAGCCCTGGGAGCTCCCCCGTCTCTGCCCCTCCCTGCCGGGCCCCTACACTCTGCAGAGCTGGGGGGGGAAGTGATGTGCCCCCGGGGGAGCAGCCAGGCTGAAGGGGAGAGGTGCATGCTGGACCCGTTGTCTCCCTATCGAAGCTGTGGCCAGGCTGCGCTGCCCTCCCCACCCCACCCAGTCTTCAGCCTCAGCTCTGGTGGGGGACAGACTCAACTTGGCCGCTGGCCAGCACCCCGTGGGCCTTTGGCAAGGAGCTGTGCTGTGCCCAAACGGGGGCACCTCTGGCCTGGAGACTTCCCCTCCTCTGCTCAGCATGGCGCTGGGAGGGGAGTGCGGCCTGGTGGGGAGAGCAGGGGGCAGCCCCCACTGCAGAGTTGCTGTTAGGAGCTCTCTTGTCCCCCCGGGGGGGGATTCTGGCCGTAGGGGTGGCCTGTGCTCAGGGGCAGGGAGGGTGCAGCGTGGCTCCGGGCTGGCTGGGGCAGCTAGTTCCATTCCTGCGAGTTGGCTGCTTCCTGGCCTGTCGCCAGCCTGGCCACTTGGGGCCCAGGACTCTGGATCTGGGTGTCTGGCCTATCGCAACGGGCCCAGGCTCCTGCTGTGAGCTCTCACCCAAGGGGTGGGTCAGGCCCGGCCGTAGCATGGACGGCTCTGGGGGGGGCCTGCCGCTGCCAGCCCTCACCCCCACCGGCTCTCTGCCTTCCCAGGCCCAGCCCACGGACATGAGGGCCCTGCAGGACGTGGAGGAGCCGGAGAAGCTGCACATCCAGATGAACGACGTCATCACAGTCATCGAGGGCAGGTATCGGCGTCCCCCCACCTCGCTCCCCTCAGCCCCCCCTTCCCTGGGGCGGCTCCACAGCTGGCCCCTCCCCTCACCCCGCTCCCCTCAGCCCCCCCTTCCCTGGGGCGGCTCCATGGCCGGCCCGTCCCCCCACCCTGCTCCCCTCAGCCCCCATTCCCTGGGGCGGCTCCACGGCCGGCCCCTCCCCCCATCCCGTTCCCCTCAGCCCCCATTCCCTGGGGCGGCTCCACGGCTGGCCCCTCCCCCCACCCCGCTCCCCTCAGCCCCCCCTTCCCTCCATGCGCTGAGTGCCCAGGTTGGACGGGGGGGTCCTGGCCTGTCAGTGGCCAGACTTGGCTTCTGACCCTGGCTGTGCCCGCAGAGAACGCAGCCCTACCTAGTCCCCCAGCTGTGTGTGTCCCCAGACTGCTGCGCCGGGTGCCATGACAGCCCGTGTCTGCTCAAGGGCAATGGGCCAATAGCAGAGCTGTGGGGGGGGCAGAGGGCTGTGGGTCGGGGCTGAGGGGTGATGGCAAACCTGGGGGAGGGGCAGGGGGCTGCGGGTCGGGGCTGAGGGGCGATGGCAGAGCTGTGGGGGAGCCCAGGGGGCTGAGGGGCAATGGCAGAGCTGAGGGAGACAGGGGTCTGTAGGTCGGGGCTGAGGGGCAATGGCAGAGCTGTGGGGGAGCCCAGGGGGCTGAGGGGCAATGGCAGAGCTGGGGGGACAGGGGGCTGCAGGTCGGGGCTGAGGTCCAGTGCGAGGATCCTCCCTCTGCCACAAATGGGGAAACTGAGGCCCAGTGAGGGGAAGGGCTACGCACATGTTCCCACAGCGAGTCAGTGGCGGAGCTGGGACTGGAACCCAGGAGTCCTGCCTCCCAGCGCCCCTGCTCCGACCACTCGACCCCACTCCCGCAGTGCCAGGTCAGACACCGTCCCGTCGGAACTGGCCCTGCCTGTCTCCGGGGCTTGTCCCTCGGCTGCGGGGCCGAAGGATGGGCCTGGAGAGGGAGCCTCGGTGCCCAGGTGCCTTTCCCGCCCGTGATATGCTGCGAGCCACTGCTCTGCCTTTCTCCATCCCCCGCAGCCCTGGGTGAGTCACTTCCCTGGGTGCTGCTGCACTTGTTAGTTTGCCTTTGCCCTCCCTTGTGTGTCGCCGGAGCACTGCCCTTGGCGCACACGCCCCCGCCCCCGCGGCCACTCCCGCTGCCCACGGTTATCTGAGCCGCCGGGAGCGGGAAGTCACGCCGGGGCTAATCTGGGATGGCTTCCCAGAACTGAGCAACGGGGACGGGAAGGGGACAGAACAGCTGTTCCTTCCTTAGCCCCAGCGTGGAGGGTCCCAGATGCCCCAAGCCCCCTGTGCGCTGGATCGGTGGCTTATGGGTGGGTAAACTGAGGCACATAGTGGTGATCGTGACCGGAATAGAGCTGGGATCTCTTAAATCCCAGGAGCCTCCTGCTTCCCATCTGCTTTGCTGCTGTCCTGCCCCCACGCTGCCCTGTGCCCGTGCTGGCACAAGGGGCAGGGGTCGAGAGTTCTGGGCATGCCAGAGAAACTGGTGCTGCCCATCCCGGGCCTTCATTCCCAGGTGGCCCCCAGCGGAGGGCTGGAGAGAGGACAGGGCGTTTGGAGACTCTCCAGAAATGCTGAGCTCTCAGGACCGAGCGAAGGGTTTGGGGGGCTGGTGGAGGGGCCGGGGGCTCTACAATGGTAGAAGCAGAACCAGGTGCAGAGGGTCTCAGCATGGGGGGGCAGCGGGTCCGGGGGGCCCTGCTCCAGGACAGGCAGAGTGCAGGAACGTGGCTAATTACAGAGCCCCATGGTGCGTTTGGTGGTATCCCACCCAGGGGGTGTTTGTGCGGGAACACGTGTGTGTGTCTAGAACACACCCCATGGGATGTAGACACAGAATCCTGCCAGCTTTCCCCTCCAGCTCTGCAGGCAACCCTGAATCCGAGCCTGCAGCCCCCCGTCCTGCTCCTCTCCCAGCCCGAGGAGGGGGATCCCACCCCGCCCCGGCTCTCCCGAGGGCAGCAGCCTCTGCTGCGGGGGCCGTGCGGTTCGTCACGGCAAACGGGATGAATCAGGCAGGACTGTGTGTCTTTAGGGACCGGCGATGACTCTTGCACGAGGGCTGGCAGTTTAATTGCAGGGAGGGATTCGTCAGCGGAGCCAGAGCGAGGGTGTAGTTAATGCAGAACCAGTGTGTGCACGCCGCCCCGATTGCATCATGGTCTGGGGCCGGGGCTGAGCTGCTCCAGCTGCCGGAGCTGGCGGGTTCAACCACTTCCAGGCAGACGCTCTCTGGGCCACACGCCGGGAGCACCCTGGCCCTGGTGCGGGGCTTGGCTGGGCTGCCCGCCTGCAGCGAGGAGCCAGTTCAGCGCACGCCTCGTTCCCCAGGAGACCCGACGGACCCGTCCGAGGTGAAAGGCAGGCTCTCCGGGGCCACTGCCTGCTGGCTTGGGGTTGGGGTTCTGCTGCGCTGGGTCTGAGGGGGGCTAAGGCGAGCGCTGGCCGGGGCCTGGCGTGTGCTGTGAAAGGGGCTGCGGGGGCTAGAGGACAGAGCCCAGGACCAGGACGGCGAGTGTCTGTGTTCTCGGTGCAGTGACCCCTCGGGGAGCAGGTGGCAGGCACGCTGCTCAGCCCACCCGTGCCTCAGTTTCCCCTGTGAAAGGGGAGGGCCATGCTGGGCGGTGGGAAGGGTGAAGTAGTGACACGAGGGAAGGGAAGCAATGCCGGTCGCTGAGTGCTGCTTTTGCCACGGGACCGTTGGTATCAGTGGTTCGGAACAGTGACCGTGGAGAATCCGGGAACCCGGTTGGCAGCAGGTGGTACTGCCCTGTGGCATCGTCCTGTTCCCAAAGCACCAGCCCGAGCAGGCAGAGTTCGTGCTTTGCCACTGCAGCTGTGGGAGCTTCGGGCCAGGCCCGACGGGCTCGGTAGGGGGGTGGCTTGTGCACCATCTGCCGCCGCGCTCTGAGGGGCTGGGAGGGGACCCGGCTGGCTGAGAGCCAGGACATGGCCCAGCACTGCGGCAGGCAGAGGCTGCCGGGCGGGAAAGGCGGCTGCCTAGGGGTTGTGCTGCGAGGGCATCTCCCAACCGGCCTTGGCAACGTGATTCCCTGTGGCCGTGTGCGTGGGGCCGGCCTTCCCTGCCCGAAGCTGGGTGTGTGGGGGGGTCTAGTTGTGCCTCAGTTTCCCTGTCTGTGACTGGTGGGATAACTGACCCTCCCCTTGGGGATTCTCGGCCATATGAAACTCAGAAGCTGCTGGCCTGTAGGGCCAAAGGGAGCCCCCAAGGGGAGAACAGCAGCCAGCGGCATGACACGAGTTGTGTCCGTTGTCAGACCTGCTCCATCCCTCAGGGAAATGGTTCCCACAAGCCCTGGAAGGCTGTATATACAGTGGGACCTACGTTAAACCCATTTGCTCCTGGCCAGAGCCCTCATGGGGAAATAGAATCCAAGTTAATAATACAGCAGGACCTACCTTAACGCCCGTTAGGTTCTCTCCTTTGCTCGGGCCAGTGTGCAGGCCCCCAGCATTAAACACGAAGGGCTGCGAACTTTGCGCCCTCGGGGCTGGGCCCAGCGTCCTGGCTGGGGGGCGCTAGATGGGCCCAGCGGGGGGCGCCAGAGCAGAGGGGTGGGCTCCTGGCCATGGGGCACTGGCCCCGCGGGGAGCGGAGGTGGCTGGGTGATGGAGGGGGAGAAAGAGTGGGGAGAGCGATGGGGGCCCTGGTGGAGGGCTGTCCTGCCGGGGTGCAGCTCCCCCAGGCGAGGGAGGAGGCGCTGGTGCCGGCGGCTTGCTCAGGGGTCCGGCCGTTGAGTAATATCCTGGGCCCCGGAGCGGAGCCGGGGCTGGGCCGGGAGGCAGGGCTGCCAGCCGCCGGCTCCTGCCCGGCTCAGAGGTAAACAGGAAAAGGGCTGAGCCGGGCCTGCAGTGAGTCACAGGTAGTTCCAGGAAAGCCGAGGCTCAGCCTGGGCGGGGATCCCGGCGCCCCCTCCCTCAGCAGCCAGGGGAGGGACCCAGGGATCTGCGGGGGTGGGGGGGTGCTTCAATCCCTGTCATTGATAATACCGCCCCCCCCCCGAAAGCTTTGCAAGGGGGTCTGTGTTCTCCCCCCATGACTCGCCCTCCGGGGGCTTGTGGGGCTGCTGCTGAGGACGGGGTGATGTTGGTGGCTCAGTAGGGGGCACACTCCATTGGTCGGTGCTGAGCCCGGCACCCCCGCCTGGCACTAGGGGGCGCTGCACTGTGGGGAGCAGTAGGGGGTTGGTGGGGGTGCTGTGGGGAGCGATGGGAGGGTCGGCGGGGAGTGGGGGGCCATCGGGGGTGCTGCGCTGCAGAGAGTGGGGGGGGGGTTGGCAGGGGCGCTGCGCTGTGGGGAGCGG